AAAAGTGGTAAAGGAAAACAGATAAAATGTTGAAGAACAGTATGTATGATTTCATTTTTGTAAATGTGTTAGCCTAGGGGAAAAGCCAGGGAACTGTGGTGGTAGAGTGCCTAAGGCATTTGACTGCTAACCAGGAGGTTAGCCGTTTAAACCCACCAGCTGCTCTGTGGAAGGAAGATGGGGTGATCTACTTCTGTAGATTTACAGCCTGGGAAACCCAGTGGGGGTCTCTATGAATCAGAATTAACTTGATGGCAGTGGGTTTGTAGGTTTTTTTTTTAGGGGAAAACCCTGGAAAGAATGCCAGTTGCCACTGGGTCAACTTTGACTCATGGCAACCTCATGTGTATCAGAGTAGAACTGTGCTCCATAGGGTTTTAATCAGCTGATCTTTCTCCAGGCACCTCTGGGTAGACTCAGACCTCTAACCTTTCAGTTAGCAGCCCAGTGTATTAGCTGTTTACACCACCAGACTCCTCTGGAAGGTTGACAACCTGTTACTAGTGATTCCCTTTGAGAGTGGGGGTGGGAACAATCACTTTATTCATTTCTGTATTTGTTGCACTTGTACTTGACCCTGCTCCCCACCAGCCACTCCACACTCCACTCCTCATTGCAGCTTTTCGCTACCCCTAGGCCTCTGTTGCCACTTATCTGTGAGTCCCAAGCACTTAGAGATCCCAGTTTTTGGCTACTCAGGGCAAGCTTTGGCTTCACTTCTCAGATTAATCAGTGGACTTTGCAAAAGGGTCTTGGGACAGCTTAGAATCTGTTAGGAACTCTGCTTACACACCAGCATCCCCTCCCACAACCATCTCCTGGGGCCCAGCAAGATCAGGTGCCTCTCCCTGAAAAGAACTCAGGGGAAGGCAAGGCACCAGAAGAGGAAACAAGCAGGTTGAGAAAGAGGCAGGATGACTTAGTGCACCCCAGCAATGCTGCCACCATCCCCCCCCTCCTCTCTCTGAATGGTCAGATCACTAATTGGTCTTCACAGCCCTTGTTACAAATGGTCCTGGAGGCAAATTCTGGTCACACCTCCAACCAGGCAAATGAACCCTTGCTCTGTCCTCTCTTTAATATGGATATGACACCTGCAGGCTAAAGCATGTCACACTGTGAGAATTATTTCTCCATTAAAATGCAGGAGCTGGAGCTTTGCCCAGGAAGAGCAGCTAAAAATACTGCTCTCTGGGGTACTCATCACCAGGGGACACCTTCCTCACTCCTCAGCCCCCAGGCAAGTCCCACAGCTACTGGGTCCCTCCCTTGAGCACTTCATATAGTGTCATGTCTGAACCTTATTACGGCCCCTTCAGAAAGAAAAGGTATGGGTTACTGTGCCTGTTTTACAGATGGGTAAACCAAGGCTCAGCTTGCTCTGGGTCACTGCCCTCCATCTATACAATCACCTCTGGAGCAAGAGTGTGCAACCATGACTACAAGAAAGGAAAAAAATCAACCCCTCCCCTGTGCCCAGCACTTAGAGTTGGCAGCATGGGTTTTCACCCACTGTCTTGTCCAATTCTCACAACAATCTTATGAAAGAGAAGCTATTATTGTCCCTACTTCACAGGTGGGGACTGAAGCCCAGTGAAGTGACACGCACAAGGACACTCGAGAGTATAAAGGACAAAGGCCCAAGTCTTTGATTGGAAACCCACTCGGAACACATGCAGGGGGACTCCTAGAGCCATCAACCTTATAATAAATACCCTCGTTGGTGAGAATGCCACATATTTTTCAGGAGACATGGTGGTTGTTGTTAGCTGCTGTTGATTCTGACTCATGGTGACCCCACGTGTGCAGAGCAGAACTGCTCCACAGGATTTCCAAGGCTGGGACCTTTCAGAAGCAGATGCCAGGTCTTACTTCTGAGGCATCTCTGGGTGAGTTTGAAGCGTCAACCTTTCAGCTATTAGTTGAGCGCTTATCTGTTTGTGCCACCCAGGGATTCCTTTCAGGAGACATCTCACCTCTCTTTAAGAGATTTAAGGGAGCTCTGGTAGCATAGTGGCTAAGACACTTGCCTGCTAACCAGACAGCTGGAGGTTCAAACCCACCAGCCACTCCTCGGAAGGAAGGTTGGGCAATCCTACTTCCGTAGTGATACTGCCTTGGAAACCCAAGGAGGGGTCGCTATGAGTCGGGTTGGACTCAACGGCACATAACAACAACAAGAGATAAAAGACAAAAAAAAAAAAAAAAAATCAGAGGCTTGGTGGCAGTTAATAGCAGAGCCAGGATTAAAAGTCCAGTGTCCTGACTCCCAGTCTAGGCTCTTCTTGCTGCTCCAGGCCTGTGATGCTGTGGGGACTGACTGCCAGCCAAGAGCTGAGACACTGTCACTAAGAGGCAAATGGACACAGAATGCTTTGTGGGTTCCTTCATCCCTCAGCCTGGTTCTGTCTGGAAATCTGTTTGCCTGCAACATTCACTACCTCCTCTCAGTGTTTTGAGATGAAAGGTGGTTAAAACTTCCATGTCCTCAGAAGACTAAGGCCCAGAGAGCTAAATGTATTGCTTCAAGTCACAGGACAGCTCTAGGGCCTGGGCCTTGACCTCTGACCCCAGCCTGATGCCCAGTCCACTGGATCGGCCAAGAATAGCACATAGAGCTCCTCTCCAGGCCCTAGATCTCAGCTTCCCCAGCAATAAAATGGAAGCATCAGACAAGATCCTAAACAACCCTTGGGTTTGAATCTTCTGAGAAAAAGAAACCAGGTGGTGCTCCGAGGAGTGGGAGGAGTCCATACAATGACCAAAGGTGTGGCTTTCTGGTCATCTGACCTCACATTCCAAAAACCAAACCACACTCACTGCCATGGAATCAGTTCCAACTATTAGTGACCCCTCTTCGGGTTTCCGAGGCATTATCACTACAGAAGTATATTGCTCAGTCTTCTTTCCGAGGAGCGGCTGGTGGGTTTGAACCACCAGCCTTCTGGTTAGCAGTCAAATGCCTTAGGCACTACGTCACCAGACCTAACATTACCAAAAAGGAAACTGAGGCCAGAGAGACGAGTGGCACATAGCCATTCACACTCTTTGTTGCATTTGTATCGTTTGACTCTGCTGCCCACCAGCCACTCCACACTCCACCCTCATCGTGGCTTCTCACTGCCTCTAGGCCTCTGGTTACTGCCTCTCTCTGAGTCCCAAGCACTTGGAGGTCCCAGTTTTTGGCTACTCAGGGCAAGCTTTTGCTTCACTTCTCAGTTTAATCAGTGGACTTTGCAACAGGGTCTTGGGACAGCTCAGAATCTGCTAGGATCTCTGCTCACACACCAACATCCCTTAATGATGAGCATAAAGAGACCCAGGCCGCCTCATGCCAGCCTGAAATTTCCTGGAGGAAATCCTTTTGCAGAGTCCTGGTGCCCCATCCTGGTTCCAAACACTTACAGAGAGAAAGCTTTTAACAAAGGCATTTATTTTTCCCCAAGACATTCCACCCCCTGGTTTACAAAATCCCTCAGCGTCCCATATTTAAATTAAAAATCCCCACGTCCTCCGTTCTTGGGGGAAAAATGTCACTAGGCGGACACCAGAACATCAGAAGTTCTATTCTGCTGGAGGCTGGCCAGAGACAAGCCAGGTGCTGGCCCCAGCCCTGGAATAGCACCATGGTTGGGTAGGGAGCAAGCATCTGTGCCCCACAGCCTCTCCTGGCCCCACCCCCCAAGTCTAGTCAATGAGGGAGGTCCTAGGATTCACCTATGCTGCTGCTATCCAAGGTCTGGGGGCCCATGGCCACCTGCCAGCTGTTCCAGGCTCATACTAGCATGTCACTGGAAACCATCAGTCCCCAGTTGTGGCAAGAGGCTATGGCCCTCTCCCCAGGTTTCTGCCCCTGCCCCATGCTCTGGGTAAGGATTAGGGATGGGGTAGGGGGTGAGGTATCCAGAAGCTGTGGGCACAAAAGAGGGGTGAGGAGGGAGCAAGCCATCTGCAAAGAACCACCCTCCCTAACTGTCCTCCAGCTGATGCACACACAGCTCCTTGTCTGTTTCCTCACGAGTTTCCCACCTGGATGGTGAGATCCTTGAGGGAAAGAGTTACTTGCCTGCTCACTCAGGGTCCCCAGCACCTAACACAGTGCTGACACCCAGTGGATGCTGAATAAACAGTAATTGGGTGGATAAATGAAAGGAACAAAATCAATGTTTTGTGGGTCCCAAGGCAGGAAAGACAGGGACAGAGGCTGATCCCAGGGGGAGCCCATCACACACATCCAAGAGAGTCATGTGACCAGCACATGCCTCTTATGGGGAGGGCTAATCAGAGGGGAGGTGCTCACAGGGCACAGCCCAGGGTACCACAAATGAGACGGCAGTGGGGGGTAGGGAGGTAGAGGGATATACGTGTTCCAGCACGTGCAACTGTATATATGTACACACCTGTGGGGGGGCTGAGTGTGTCCTGTTTTTACTCAGTGGAGAAGGAAAAAGCTAATATTGGGGCCAGAGAAGGAGGAAACAGCCTCTAGACTCAAAGAGCTGCTGAGATTGCAGGGACCTTGAGAGATGGGATTACGGGGGAAATCAGGACTACAAGGCTGAGAAATGACAACTAGTGTATAAGGGTCATTGAGAAGTGTATCATGTCTTTGGAGAAATAAAGCAAAGGATCAGTCTGAATATTGTGTCCTTTGGAGAAAAAAGATAGCCAGATGGTGCAGGTGGCAGGTCCCTGGGGAAATAAGGTGGTGGGGTGTTCTGTAGCTGTGTCTGTAGAAATAAGGCAGCAGGATGGTTTATGTATCATGTCATCAGAGAAATAAGGCAGTAGGGTGACTCGGGAATCAAGTCCATCAGAGAAATAAAGTAGTGGGAACAGGGGGTTAGTCTAAGTATCGTGTCCTTTGGAGAGTGAGTAGACCCACCAGAGTAACAGGACCCATCTCTTGGAGGCAGGGAAGCCCCTAGCCCTGGGCTCACATTGAGGGCCCAGTGGAGGTACAGGCTCCAAGCAGGGCGGCAGCTTCCTGGTCCTCATGGTCAGGCTATTTCTTGTCCATCATCTGTATTTCAGGATGGGAAGAACAAAGAGGAAAACAACATTAAACACAGCAAGTTCTATTCTAGGGCAAGGAGTGGGTGGGGATGCACCAGAACCCTAGGTTCTGGTCACATATTCAGGGTTAGCGATGAGTGTGAGGTTGGCCATAGCAGTTCAACCAGCAGTTCCCTGTGCCAACCACTGCTCTCACAGGCCCTGGCATAATAAGCACAGGAGCTGGGTGTTAGACATGGCCAGGAAGGTGTCCAAGGGAGCCTCTGTCCTCAGTCCCCAGGGGCCACTCACACTACACACACTCTGGCCTCCCAACTGTTCCCTTTAGCTAGGATACTTTTCCTTCCCATCTCCCCCTGCCTGTCCATCCAATATATCCTCCAATGCCTGGCCCACTTCCCTCCTCTAGCCAGAAACCCTTTCCCAACTGCCCCTTCTCATACTGATCTCCTCAAGAATGATGCTGTGGGGGAACCTCCCTCCCTCTGGCTTCTCAGATTCACACCCTTGGCCTCTCTCCACTCCTGAGCCTGAATGAAGAGTTTGGAAGAAGGACTTGACATGTGCTCCTCTTCTGTTTCTTGGGCTCCATCTGATTTCTCTGCCTTTGCAGTTGGCTAGTTGGCCAGAGACCAGGCCCCAGGCTGCCTCATAGGGGAGCAGGATTGGAAAGCCCACTGCTTCTCACACCCAGGCCACACTCACCAGAAACCAAGCTGACACTTTGATCCCTATCTGCTCTGCTCTTCTATGTCTCATTTGGTCCAGAACAACATGGGAGAATCATTTATCTCCATCCCCTAGGCCCCAACCTAGGCCTCTACTGCTGCCATTGAACACTATACAGAGCAGCTGTGACCTGTATTCCAACTAATGTGGGGACCTCAGTTACTCAGCTCTATGCCATCTCACAAGGGGGGAAGTCAAGGCAGCTCTTCTGGGGAGGGAACCTCAGGTCACCAATGAATAACCCTCCCAGTCTCCTACACACAGGTGCACAGACACACAGACCCACAATCTCAAGCACCACTTGTCTTTACCTTCTTTGCTTTCAGCATGTTTGAGAGGCCGCAGGGCTGCAAAAAAGGATGGAGTCTGCTGTGAGAGGGGGATTATGGAAAGCAGCAGGACAAGGGGTCAGGAGAGGGGAGAGGGACAGAAGCTGAGGAAGAAGTAGAGGCTAAAGGGACTGCAAGGAAGAGAGAGAAGGTGGAAGAAGTTGGGAGAGTGGGGACATTGCAGCACCAGGGAAGGAGCCCTAGGCTGCTGTCCCAAGCTCCACTGTGGCTTGTCACCCTTCTCGCTGGGCCTCAGTTTTCTGCATCTATAGAATGGGAACAATCACCTGCCCTCCAATGAGCTGAGAAGTGAAAATGCACTGAGGCTGCTCCACAAACAAAAGTGATGTAGAGAGCTAATAGAGAACTTGGCATATCTATAGGTATCCAGAGGTGGGCCTGAGACCTCGTAGAACTGGGCTTGGGACCATGTGGAACTGAGCCTGAACAAATCACTGGCCTTCTCTTCTCTTTACTCCTTCCCTTCTTCCAACCACATCTGCCTCTGAGCATGAAAAATGAGGCCCAATTCCAGGGCTGTCTCTGTGGCTGCCACACACGGGCACCAAAATTAATTGCCACGATTTACAGCAATCCCCAGGTGTCAATCTTCTGCCACTCCTTCCGTGGGGGTGGGAAGGGAACCATCCCAAATGGGCCAGCAGGAATCTACTTCTCCCAGCCCAGGCACCCCTGGAAGGGAAGGTAGTGAGGCCTCCAGTGGTCATGGCATGAGTGAGTTGGTGCTCACCCCAAGCTAGGCTCCTGATTTGTATCCTCCCCCATACCATCTCCTTTGCCAATCACTTTCCTATCCTTTCTCAAGACAGTTTTGAACAGCCCTCCAGTGCCATCAGGGCAAGGGTCAGCCTGACCATTTTATAGATGGAGAAACTGAAGCCCAGAGAAATAAAGCACCTTCCTACAAGGTACCCAGCCTCTTATTACAGTGGGATCATCTTTAACTATTTACCTAACAACAGGGCTCCAGTGTACCAAGCACTCACTAGGTGATGGGTATATAACTGAGCACTTTACATACATTGTTGTTGTTATGTGCCGTCGAGTCGACCCCTCCTTGGGTTTCTGAGGCAGTATCACTACGGAAGTAGGATTGCCCAACCTTCCTTCCGAGGAGTGGCTGGTGGGTTTGAACCGCCAGCCTTCTGGTTAGCAGTCAAGTGCTTTAGCCACTATGCTACCAGAGCTCCCTTACATACATTAGTTTATTTAATTTAACCCACATGACCTATGAAGGTAAGCTCTATTGTTACACTCATTTTACAGATGAGAAAACTGAAGCTCAGAGACATGAAGTGATTTGGCCAAGGCTTCTCAGTTTGTAGGAGATAGGGCTGGAACTTAAACCGAGGCTGTCTGACTCTAAACTCTGTGCCCAGGACAGCCCTGTCTTCTGAGCCCACCCCTAAGAAGCTACCAGACCTTGCAATAGTACAGGGTCACGAGGGGCGGGACCAGCCCTGGTGGGTGGGTAAAGGTAAGCAGAAGAAATGAAGCACCACTTGGAAGGGGAGATCCATCTCTAGGTCTAACTCTAAGCAAATACCAGACTCTGGCGTGAGAGACCTCAGGCCAAACAGCATACTTGATTCAAATCTTAAAGCAAATCTGGCCCTTCCAGGCTGTCATGTCCTCTGTCCTGTTCCCTGTGTGCTTTTTCCAGCCCAGGTCAGCTCCAAGCTCAGACTCACCTGTCTTGGATCCTTCTCCATCCCCCTCCTGGTCCTCAGTTCCTGGGAGACAAGAAATCTAACTGAACCAAAAACTTTTCTCAGCCTCACTTTCATCACTACACTTCCCATCTGGGAATGCAGGTAAATGAGGCCTGAGCAGGCTTGAACTGTGTTTCCAATGCTGTTCACAGGGTCAGAGCTTGAGATCAGCACAGAGCAGAGCAGAGCAGAGCCTTGTGGCAGGTCGAAAGGGCTCCCAGCCTGGAGCCCACCACCCACCTAGTCAAAGAGCCCTTATCCACCCCTCCACCAACCCACCAACCCCAATACCTCATCCATGCATGCACCAGTCAGTCAAGTAGCACCTCCAACATATACACCCATCCATTTATTATCCACTCACCCTTCCCCTGGCCTACCCAGCTGTCAATGCACAGGCCTTACCCATCTATCAACTGACCGATTTCTTCTCCATTCATATACACATTCTCCTTCCTGACAGCTAGTCTTTTTTCAGCCTCTGACTGCCCATCTACTCTCATGCCTCTGTTTACCCATCTACCATCCAGCAGCACCAACTTACCAATGCGCCAATGTCCACTCATCCATCCGCCACTTAACAGAGTTAAGTCAGCCACCTACCATGGTCAACTCACCTATCTCCCAATGTCAAATCACCCACCTACCAATTGCAATAAACCAAACCAAACCCACTGCCATCGACTCTATTCAGACTCATAGCAACCCCCATTGGGTTTCCGAGGCACTAAATCTTTACGGAAGTAGATTGCCCAGGTTTCCTTTCACAGAGTGGCTGGTGGGTTTGAACCACCAACCTTCTAATTAGCAGTCAGATGCCTTAGGCACTGTGCTACCAGAGCTCCTTACCAATTGCAATAGTCAACTCATACTGAGGCTCAGCCTGGCAAAGGGCATCAGCTTCAGAATCTACCCACACATTCATACACAGTCACACAAAACCACTGAAACATTCACAGTTGTGCTGCTAAATTTCTGTGTTCTAAACCTGCTCTCTCACTCACAAACACATTCATGTTCACTGCCTTATAATCTCATACTCACTCTTACTTCCACAGACATATTCAACTCTTTGTCACACTTCAGCCTTGTACATCCACCCACTCACTCTCAGTTACACTTAAAGCCACACTCATCCTGCTATATTTGCACACTGACAGGTAAGCTCACATTGGCCCTGCACCCACAAGACATATTCAGTCTCAAGTTTGCCCACCCACAACATACATACACTGAATCCAGCCCAATTTGCATACCCACACCCATTCCATCATTTTCCACATACTTATATTGATATTACAGGCACACTGTGAGTGCTCACACATGCATACATTTACACACAGACATAACCACTCTCTCCCACTTACCTGCATTTTCCTCCTCACAGCTTTGTTTAATCTTCCTCCAGCACACAAAGGCCAGGGCTACTAGTAGTGCAACGAGACAGATGGAGAGCCCCACAGTCACCCATAAGGCCTCAGGTGGGAATGTCATGGGCTGCCCTGGGAGAGGATGTGGGAGAATAGGGAGAGACTGTCATGCCTGTCCCTCATTACCCTGAGGGCATTAGTCAAGCTGTGAACAGGACTGGGGCTCCAGTGGACCCTAGCACTATGAGTAGAGGTCATTTACATTCCCAATGCCACTTTCCCATTCATCCATATTCCTTCCAAATCCAGATACAGCCATGGCCAATGTGGACATCCCCCAACATGCTAAAGAGTCTGCAGTTGAATGATGCTCAAGAACCTTCTGTGGCTCCCCACTAACTTTAGAGCAGGAGCAAGAGAGGAAGACAGCATATCTAAGAAACCTCTGAGTCCCAGGATGAGGCTCCTGCAGTGGGGAGGGTGCAGAGCCACAAAAATACTCTGGGCGGCTTGTTTCTATGTCTACTCTCAGGCTGGTGTTGATGTCTAGAACATAGGTCAGAATTGACCCCACTCAACCACTAAAGGTCAGAGCTAGGCTTAGACCCAAGCCCAGGGTCTCTCTCCATAAAGCCTTCACGTAGAGACTCTATGCTGCATTGTCAGCTTAACTAACTTCCATCAGCTATGGGAGAGACCAGGTCCAGTGCCTCAAAGCCTGAATCCCAGAATGTTCAGACAAGGCACAAAGCTCCCCAAAGCAAAATACAGGCCAAGGGCTCCAAAGTAGGCCAGACCTGCTCTAACAAAAACAGGAGGCCGGCTGGTGGGGAGGACAGGAAATTAGGCCAAGAGGCCAAAGTTGGATTCTGATCCTAGTTCATCTACTCACTGCAGGGTATGGGAGCTGGGGTCTACAGACCTCCATGGTGGGTTTAGGGGGGGCCAGGAACCCTCAAAACTATCACATGCAATCACACATGTGTCTGGGGATTTATCCAATTTTCAAAGATTCTCCAAAGTATTCAGAGCCACTGTGTTATTCTCTGGCCTGGGAAAAATTCCTTTTCTGGACCTAAGTTCCCTCATCTGTGAAATGTGCTTGGCAACATGGGCCTAAATGAAAGTACTTTTCAGAATTCTAAATGTCTTATAAATGTAACGAAGGACTATTATTTGTAATTAGCAGTTTAAGGGTTTTATTAAAACATTATCTGCTAAAGCAATTTAAAGCAAATTTTTCTCTTAAGTGGAGTAAACAATGTCCCTGCAATCACACTTACATATATTCAGCCCAAATGATCATGAAGCCCATCTATCCTTCAAGATTCTTCTCTACTCACATTTCCCCCTAGAGGCCTCTCCTGACCACTTCCTGACACCCCTTTTCTTCCCTGAAAAGTTCCCACTTCCTGTCAATCTCACACTATCCTGAGTTTTCTATTGTTTCCTGTGAACACAATGTTTTTACCACAAGACCCAAGTGGTGCTCTCTAAAAGGTCAGGGGGACTTCTGAGAGCATCAGAGCCCAGGGGAGTGACTCTCACCCAGAGAGCAAGGTCTCTCCAGGAAGGGGATGGGGTCAATCTTGGGGAGGTGGTAGGCAGAGGAAACATAGCCTGGCTAGAAAGAAATACACAGACTAGAAGGAAGACTGAGCCATGAACTCCTAGAAAACAAGTGTAAGAAGCACTGGCTCTGGGCTTGTGTGGCCCATGTGAGGCCCAGGGCCCACTCAAGAGGGAGAAGCAAAACAGGAACAAGCAGTAAGTCCTGAGTTTTGTGTAGAAACTAGGCTGGTGATCAGACCTGGATGGTGTGGGTGGATGGGTAGAAGCCATGGGAAGAGACAGACAGAATCAGCTGTTCTGGTCCCAGGTGGTGCAGGGTGGCCCCTGAGAAAGCTTGGCTGGCCCAGGAGGAAGGATTAAGGGACCAGGCTGAACAAATAAGCCTGGAGAAGGACTGGATAGAGGACTCTCAGGTCCATACACTGGTGGAAACCTTGGCCTGAACGTGGGCTTGAGCCCTCTGCATACCCCCAGGCACAAGAGATGCCCCCCTTAGGTGTGCACTAATGGAAGAGAAGGGTGCCTAGGCTAGGATCCCAGAAACCAGAGGTTGAGAGACCGCTATTTAGCATCTGGCCACATGGGGGCAGCAGAGACAGACCCAGCTATTCCAACTGCGGCCAGAAAAAGCCAACACTGGCCCAGGTGAGAGGTTTGACAGGCTGCAGAGGCCCTGCGGTCTCTGGGGCTCCAGAATCAGATAGTGCCCACCGATGAAGCAACACCTTCCCATTCTCGGGGGAGGTTCCGGTTGGAAATCACTACACCACCATAGCCCCAGGCCACCTTGAGGCTGCTCCAGAACTCCGCCCATGCCTCTGATTCCAGGCCATTACTTTGTCCTCTACATAAGAAGCACAAGTATCACCTAAGGTGCTCTTAGGAAGGAAAATATTACAAATTATTCTTATCAGCTCATTAAAGTCCTTTAAGGACTTCTTGTTGGGGAGAGTCTGAAACACCTGAACTGTGTGAGAGTGGTTTTTAAACAGTCTTTTGACCAGTGCTGAGTCTGAACTTGAAAAAACACATCCTTCCTTCCTGTCTGCCAGTCGCCTCACCTGTGATGGTGACAGAGCCGTGGGCATCCTGCTGCAGCACGGGGTTGCGCACCAAGCAGCTGTAGGTGCCGTTGGCGCTCAGCACCACCCTCAGCACGCTGCGCACGTCGAACAAGCCCTGCTCGTTGGCCATCTGCGATGTGGTGACGTTGCTGGTCAAGAGCGCTCCCTGCCCGTCCTGCCAGAATACCTCGGCCTCGGGGTAGCCCCGGTAACTGGAGCATGTGATGGTCACTGTGTCTCCAGGCCGCAGGTCCTTATTGGGCTCCAAGGTCATACTGGGCTTCGAGTAAGGAGCTGAAGGGGGGCACAGAGCAGGGTTCAAAGAGTAGGCAAGGGGCAGGGGAGATGCAGTGAAGGAAATGGTTTCCTGGGGCTGTGAGTGCTAGGGGTCAGCTCTGGGGCCTGGATCTGGGGTCAATGGTGGGCAGGGGCATATCTGAGGTGTGAAGACAGGGGAATGAGCGCCCTCCTCACGCTCACCTGCCACCTGCAGGCTGACTGCGGCACTGCCGAAGTCCCGGATGCTCACGAAGCAGGTGAAGCTGCCCTCATCAGCCACGCGCACGCGCTGTAGCCTCAGGGACGCGTTGCCCTGAGCCAGCAGGTCCGGGAAGAGTGCCGTGCGGTTGGCGTAGGCGCTGCCCTGGTCCCGACCCTCCGCGAAGCTGTGCACCAGCTGTTTGGTATCTGTCAGCTGCCAAATGAGGTTGAGCTGCGCCAGGCTGAAGTCAGGATCGGGTGAGAAGGAGCAGCGCAGAGTGGCATCTGTGCCCACCAGGGCCACCACTGGGTCTTCAGGGACCTGAACCTCTACGGCGCCTAGGGGGGACAGAGGTGCTCAGGGTTACCATCCTGCAGCCTCCCAGAGCTCCTACCCCCATTAACTCCCCGGGCCCTTCTCTGTCCTCCCATTTCCTCCTCACACCCCAAAGCATACTGAGTTTCAGAACTCCCAGACATGGAGTCTCCCTAATCCTCTTGACAAAAATCCAGCAGGTTGGCCTTAGCCTGACAAGGTCCACTCTCTGGGGTCCAGGCCTAGGGCAGTGTGATACTAAAGGGCCCCGGGCCACTATCAAAGTAACCTCCCCCTCCCCGGCAGGGTCCCTTTCTTTCCCCTATACTTCTGCTCTCTGCTGAGACCTGGATGTTTTTCCACCGTGATGCCTTCTTTTCAAGGTCTTCAGAACCCTGTGGCCAGGAGAGGTGGACTGGAGAAGGCCCGAGATCATGGCCCCCTCCACACACACGTAAGTCGCCCACCCTGTGTATTTTTCACTTTATCTCTGCTAGACATCTCCCTGCCCTGGGAGGCTAAAGGTGGGGAACTCATGGGCCCTGAAGACAGAACCAGAATCATCCTCCCTCAGACAAACATTTAAGGGGGGTAGGGGGAGCTAAATACCTGTGGGGCTTCTGTGGGGCCTGATGGTGACAGAGCCGTGGGCATCCTGCTGCAGCACAGGGTTGCGCACCAAGCAGCTATAGGTGCCATTGGCGCTCAGCACCACCCTCAGCACGCTGCGCACATTGAATAAGCCCTGCTCGTTGGCCATCTGCGATGTGGTCACGTTGCTGGTCAAGGGCGCACCCCGCCTGTCCTGCCAGAGTACCTTGGCCTCGGGGTAGCCCCCGTAGCTGGAGCACGTGATGGTCACCGTGTCTCCAGGCCGCAGATCCTTATTGGGTTCCAGGGTCATAATGGGCTTCAAGTAAGAGGCTGAAGGGAGGCACAGAGCAGTGGTGAAAAGGTAGGGCAAGGGGCAGGGGAGGAGCACTGAAGGAAGACTGAGTGCTGGGCGTCAGCTCGGGGACTTGGATGGGGTCAGTGGTGGGCCGTGGGTCAGGGGTTACGGGTTGTCTGAGGGGTGGAGACCTGAGGGGTGGAGACCGGGGAATGAGCGCCCTCCTCATGCTCACCTGCCACCTGCAGGCTGACCGCGGCACTGCCGAAGTCCCGGATGCTCACGAAGCAGGTGAAGCTGCCCTCATCTGCCACGCGCACGCGCTGTAGCCTCAGGGACGCGTTGCCCTGAGCCAGCAGGTCCGGGAAGAGCGCGGTGCGGTTGGCATAGGCGCTGCCCTGGTCCCGACCCTCCGCGAAGCTGTGCACCAGCTGTTTGGTGTCTGTTAGCTGCCATATGAGGTTGAGCTGCGCCAGGCTGAAGTCGGGATCCGGCGAGAAGGAGCAGCGCAGGATGGTGTCAGTGCCTACTAGAGCCACCACTGGGTCTTCGGGGACCCGGACCTCTACCGCGCCTGGAAGCAGGAACCAAGGGGTGGGCAGTGAGGAGGGGTAGGGACACCCAGGCCTCCCAGGTCTTCTCCTCCTCCTCCAGGTAACCCCAGGGCCTGCCTACCCTTCCTTTTAGGCCTGAGATCCAAAAGGAGGTGCCTGTGGTTCTCATTCATTCAGATCATTCTTTCAAGGAAAATATAGTTAGCACCTACTATTTGCTTATGATGAGATTTCAAAATGCAACAGAGAGGATGACCAAGGTTATGTAAACCTCTACAGGGTTTACATTTTAATGAGAGAGAGGGGCCAACTAGCACACAAATTTCCATTGTTTGATTAGGGGAATGAAGGGAGGAAACAAGCTAATAGACAGTAGTGTTACTTTAAAAAAAAAAAAAAAGCTGGTATTTTACAGCTATCTGTGCTGCTTGCAATTTTCCCATAAGTATATATTATTTTTATAAATTAGGAAGCAGTGAGGGTCTAGAAAAGTACACACCAAAATGTAAATAGTGGTCTTCTCTGTACAAAAGAAAAAAAGTATTTAAATTTATTTATTTATTTATGGTATTTTGTTTTCCTAAATAAACTCTGACTTCTCTGTGGAGGCTGGATTGTAGGAGGGCAAGAGGGAAAGCAAGGGGATAAATTAGGTTATTTCACTGGTTCCTGTAAAAAATGATGACAGCCTGGTTTTGGGGAGCTAGAAATGGTGACCAAAACCACAACCAAACACAAACTCACTGCCGTGGAGCCGATTCTGACTCATAGGGACCCCTCCTTGGGCTTCTGAGGCAGTATCTCTACAGAAGTAGATTGCCCAGTCTTCCTTCTGAGGAGTGGCTGGTGGGTTTGAACCATCAGCCTTCTGGTTAGCAGTCAAGTGCCTTAGGCACTACGCCACCACCAGAGCTCCTTAGAGATGGAGACAATGAGATAAGATTCAGAGTTCATTGAGGTGGGGGTCTCCAGAAGACTTGCTGATGGCTTAGAGGTGAGGGCCAAGCAGCATGATCCCAATGGGCCAGGATCAATTGCATTCCCAGAGACCAAGCTTCAGGCATGTCCAAAAAAAAAAAAAAAAGCCCGGAGAGAAAAGCCATCTCCCACCCAGGGCAGGTTCCCTTGCCCCACTTCTGCCCTATCTCCTGTGCACTTACCCTGCAGCTTCCCTATCCAGTCACCTGCACCTGCATTCTACCTCTTCCTTTAAAAAAAACAAAAAAAAAAAACCACTGCCATCGAATTGGATCCTAATTATAGTGACCCCTCCTTGGGTTTCTAAGGCGGTATCAGTACTGAAGTAGATTGCCGAACCTTCCTTCCAAACCTCTTCCTTTAGAGCCTGGAAAAGTTTGGCAAGGGTCACTGATAGTCTTTCTTAGGGAGCAGAGACACCCCCATCCTGCAGGGCCATTCTTGGGTAATGGTCAGATAGTGTGTGTGCTTTGGACACCAACAAAGCAGGCACACTCAAGAACTGTGAAGATTGAACAGTCTTGGGGAAAAAGGTAGTTGACTGCAGCACCTATGAAAGTTTTCTTCCATTTAGAAAAACAAAGCGTTTATTTTGTGTTTAACAGTTTTACTGTGAATTATACACAGTCGTGTATAATCTTTGCAGTATGTGGAGGTCTCTGATGGTCTGAAGCTGGCCCTGGCTCTCTTGTTGCAATCCCAGGTACCTCAGGTTAGCCAGCTAGCACATGGTGTCTCCTTTACTGGGAACTTGGGGGATGAACCCTGAGGAGGCACCCAGACAAAGCCTTTTCCAGAGAGGTCAAAGCAAGCATAGGGAGCATCACCTCGTTGTAGCCACAAGATGGCGCCAGACACTCAGCATTGTCCTCCCCATCCAGGAAGACGCCAATCTCCCTCAGCAGAAATGTTGATTCAGATTTGAAATATGATATTACTGTTAAAGTAGCTACCATCATTGAGTGCTTACTATGTGCTAACCAATGTGTAGGAAGATTTATGTCATTCAACATGGTTACACTGAGGCTAAACCCTGCTCTTTGAGCAGGCAATAAGCAAGTAAAGATAGACGCGGTGGAGGTAAATGCTAAGAGAAAGAATGAAGCAAGGTCAGGGATAGGGTAGGTTGGAGGAGGAATGTGCTATTTCACACATGGTGGCCAGGAAAGCCTTGCTAAAGAAGTGACATTTGTGCAAAGACCTGAAACAACGTAAATGCCAAGTCATAAGGACATCTGGAGGCAGAAAGTTACGGGCAGAGGAAACAGTAGGCGCAAAGGCTCTGAGGAGGGAGCGTGCACAGTGTGTTCAAGAAACAGCATTATCACGTTTAGTGCTCACCATCTCGCAGAGCAGGCTACACCATGATGATCGTTACTAGATGCTGTCAAGTCGGCCCCCTTATGGCGACCCCATGCTCAGCAGAACAGAATGCTGCCTGGCCATTCCCATGACTGGCTGCATATTGGACCACTGTGATCCACAGGGTTTTCATTGGCTGGTTGTTGGAAGTAGATCACCAGGCCTTTCTTCCTATTCTGTCTTAGTCTAGAAGCTCTGCTGAGATCTGTTCAGCATCAGAGCAACACATAAGCCTCCACTGACAGACGGGTGGTGGCTGCTTATGAGGTGCCCTGCTTGGAAATCAAACTCTGGTCTCCCACATGGAAGGTGTGAATTCTACCACCGAACCACCACTGCCTCATAGATTGCTACTTTATAGTAGAGGAACCTGAGAAAGATCAAGTCTGCTGCCTAATGGATCCAGGTGTGGACAGGGCATAGACCCCAGCCACTGCTAGATAGAGATGGCTTGGCAGGACCCTGGGTTGGAGTGGGAGTCCCCCTCATTCCCCATCGTGATCACTGTCCCTCCTCTCCCCTTCTCCATCCCTCCTCATCTCTTCTCCTCACCTGTGAGGCAGAACCACAGCACTCCCAGGGCTGTGGCCACACGCATACCCACAGGGCTGCGCTGCTGGTGCCACATCTTCCTGTGAGGCAGCTGACAGCTGGGATCTCCGTGGTGGAAGGCTGTCCCTGCCTGCGAGGAACAGGAAGTGAGGCCTTTGTCTCAAAAGGTCCTCCCCAGGCCCCCTCTTACCTCATCTCCCCTGGAACCAGCTGGAGGAAGCCTGCAACAGCCCACTGGGTGGTCCTCCCTCTCTCCCTCCCTCAGGCCTCCCACTCCCCACGAGGCCTCCTGCAAGGGGATCTTTGTGAGAGATGCTGGCAGGAGGGAGTCGAGTCCCTGGGGAGGCTGGGCCAGGGGAGGTGAGGAGTGGGCAGCTGGGATCCACCCTCTCAGCCTGAAGATGTTGGTGTACATATATAAAGAAGAGGAGACAAATGAAGGGAAAGTTGGCAAGTTCAAGGCCTGCTCTTGGAGAGGACTGTGCACAGATCAATTTGGCTAGAAACAACACCTCATTGGGGAGGGGAGAGTAGGAGCTGAGGCTGGAGCCAGACTCAGAGACAGGGTAATAAGGGGTGTGAACTTTATCCTGAAGGCAGCTGGGAGCCACTGAAGGTCAGATTTGTCCTCATAAAGATTAATTCTGCAGGATAAATGAAAAGGCTAGACAGAAGAGATGAGGCAGGTTTGGGAACATGGGGAGAAAGAGAGCAGTCAAGATATCTATGGTTTTGAGCCTCGGTGACCAGGTAGGGCATTGCCTGACACAGAGGACACAGAAGGGTTCTATGTAAAGTATGTGAAGTTAGTGTATTTCTACAGAAACTTTCAGGGGAGAGTTCTCAGAGGTTGCTGGAGTATGAGTGTGGGACTCCAGGCAGAGAACACATTTGCTACTTTAATGCAAGGCCAGTCAGAGGTGGGAGAGGCCAGGGCTGGGCTGTCCCCTCAAGGCTGGAGTTGGGGCTAAGTAAGAGGCGGGTCTGTGGCTACTGGTCGAGCCTGAGCCTGAGCCAGGGCCCAGCTTCCCCTGGCTCCAGCCCTGCTTCCGATCCTGGCCATCCCCCCCAGTGTGGCTGACTCTGGCAGACAGCACACACTTTTTCCTCCGTCCCACAAGTGCTGCCTGATCACTCATGTCACATCCTGATCAAGCCACATGACCAGTGCTGATCCATGTCAACTAGCACTGATCATCCAGAATATAGGTGATGTCACATCCTCATGACTTCCCTGGGAGATGGGCCAGGCAACTCGGTCCCATTTTGTAGGAGAAAAAAAGTAAAGCCCAGATAAGTGAAGTGACTTCATTCATGTCATGTAATTTGCCAGTAGCAGAGCTGAGAAGAGTCCAGGTCCCCAACCTCCTACCATACCCTTCTGCCCTTCCACACAGCAAAGGACATCAATAGCCATTAGCATCAATCCCAGTCACCAGGCACCCAACCTCAACCCTCCAATCCCAGCCAAGCACCACCCCACACACACAGCCCCAGCAGCTGGGCTTCGGGGACTCCCTGTCTCTCAGCCAAGCCAAGTGCATCCTGCCTGGCATCCCCACCCCAGCTGTCTGCCGCAGTGGGGAAGCCCTGAGCAGCCACTTCCTTCCCAGACGCTTCCGCTCCAAAATCAAGCAGCCTCAAAGCCTTGCCGCCAGCTGAGTCAGCAGCCTTCTCACACCATTCATAAAGGCACCCTTGGAGGGCACCCACATCCTGCCCTGTGACGGCCAACCACAGCCCACAGGAAAACCTAGCCCTGAGGGGAGCTGCCTGCTGTGCCTGCCTGCCTGCCTGCCACCACAGGAAGGGCTGAGGATTAAGGAGCTCCCAGGCTCCTTCCTTAGTCTCAGTTTCTGTCTCTCACCCCTAGACAGAACTGAAGCCAGTCTGTTCTTCCTGCGCCGCCTCTCTCCTCCCTCCCCACTGCTCATCACCTCACCACCTGCCACCCTGGCCTGAGTTCACCAAGGCTCCTCCTGACCCTCCTGAGATCCTGCTCATTGGCTTTGTTATCTCCACGCCTTCTCGGCCAATGCTTCTCTAAGGTGCCTTCTCTTAGGACCTAAAACAGGAATCTGCTCATGTCCTTCCCCTGCTCAAGAACCTCCCATGGCTCCCCATTCACTATAATCCTATGCCTGCCACTCAAGCCCTTCTAGTGACTGGCTGTTCCATACATGAAGCTAATTCCTGCCACTGAGTTTTGCTCCTCAGGACTTCCTGGAAATGCCTCCTTGCCACCTCTGTGAATATGGGGAGATCAGAGAGAACCTCTCTCCTGAGCAGACTGACAAGTGATCCCCAAGGGCCAAGCTATCCTTCCCTCCAGACAGGGAATGAGGGGGCTACCAAGGGTATGCACTGGGCTTGCTCTCCTGTTGATTCTTCCCCTAAACTTTGGACCCAGGAAGCCCACAGTCACGGCCCACCCTAGAGAGGAGAAACCTAACTGCCCCAAACCTGAGAATTCATAGCACCGAGAGACAGCTGGATGCCAGAAATGCAGGGCAGGAGAGAGGAACACATTTCAGAGTCCAGGAGCTGCTCAGAGAGTGAGAGGATGGCCTGAGAAAGGAATCACTGCCCATATGGACAGACAGGCAGCTCTGGGACCCAGAGCCACATGGAGACCAACAACCTCCTGAGGCATAAATGCTACTCCAGTCCATCTTTTCTTCAGAGGGGAATTCTCTTGCCCAGGGCGACTTGCCCTGGAATTAGCATGTGCCACTCCTCGCAATGAGTCGTTAGCCAGCTCTCCCTCCTCTTCCTCTCCCCTAGTCCTAGTCCCACACAGGAACTCCAAGGAGCCCTGCCAGGAAAGAACACCAAGCACCTTGGGCCTTCACAGAGAAGTAGAAGGGATTGGTCTAGGCCACCCTTGTCCTGAGGTGCAGTAAGTGCATCTAATTCCAGCAAAGATGGAGTCACAGGGAAGCTCCTGAGAGATGACCCAAGACATGCCCCCATAAAATCCAAGCCAAAAAACAAGGGCCAAGACTGGGCTCTGGATCAGGACTTGGCAATGGTCAAGAAGAGCTCTTTCTCCCCTCCATGATCACCAGCATCACCTCATCTCCTCCTAATCCCGGCTTCCTCCCCAGGCCTCCTGGGACTGCTTAGGTACCACTTCCCACAGAGTGGACAAAAAAGACAGAGGGATACAGAGCTCCAAAAACATCATTTATACCCCTGGATCCAGCTATTCCTGAAAGTTGCACACTTAGACTGCCCAGATACTTGAGCCAATCATTTTCCCCTTTAAGCTAGTTTGAGCTAGGTTTCTACAGTGAAACCCATGAGAGCTGGAACTCTACAGGACTGCCTTGTTTTTCTGGGTTTTGCAAGTTTTCTGCATTTGACAGGGAACAGTCTTACCTCTTTTCTATCACTCTCTATTAGTGGACAATATTTGAGTTTTCCTTCTCTAACAGGTTTCTACCTTACACAGTTTCCAGCTTTCACAGGTTGACCTGAAACTGAAAGCCTCCTCAAAAATACATTCATGTATTCAGTAAGTCATTAACTCTTGCCCTGGGCAGGCACTGGAGACAGAGGTGAATAAGCTCTCTATGTATCCTTAAGGAGCCTGCATTTTAATAGGGAAGATGGGTATGCATAGTATACTATACAAGATACAGTCAGGGCTACTTGGAAGTATCTCAAAGACAAGGTAACCCCAAAGCTGAGTCCTGAAAAACGATGAGCAGCTCCCCAGGTGGACAGTTGGGAAGGGGGTCCCCTTCCCAGGTCCAAGAGTCCTTCTGGCACTGCCTATCTCTCAGCCAGATCAAATGGCAGACCATGAGCCCAAAGTTTGGGGTTCTAGTCCCAGCTCTGACACCTTGCTGTGCATTCTTAAGCAGGTGACTGTGACATCCCCTCTCTGAGCTCAACGTTTCCATCTATAAAAGAAAAGCTTTGCTGGATGCTATCAGAACTTCATCAGTACCTTAAGCCTTCATGTACTAGCTCCTTCAGGTTTACCTAATTAGCTGCCATGCAGGTCACAGTGAAATGCACAGAGACTGTGGCATTAAGCACTAGCCTTCCCCTTACATTCATTCTCTCATTCTGTAGAATTTTAGCTAGGCTCATGACCACTCAGCTAAAGACTACAGATCCCAGTCTCCCTTGCAGCTGGGTGTGGCTATTTTCTAGCTTATAGGCTATGAGAATAACCATGTGTACAAATTCCAGGTTATGCCTTATAGAGAAGGAGCTTATCCTCTCCTTCTTCCTCCTCCTTCCTCCTCCTTCCCACTAGTTGGAACACAGATGTGGTGAGCCATGGGGACTATACTGTCAGAGGCAATACCCTGGGGACTGCAGAGCAGCAAGATAGATGTCCCTGAGGACCTGTCATCTGAACTAAAATAAGGGGCCATCCCTCTCTTAACTTTAAAAGAATAAAATACATAGGAATAATTTTAACTGGGGAAGTAAAAGATTTGTATACCAAAACCTATAAAATAGTGCTCAAAGAAATTAAAGAAGCCCTAAATAAATGGAAAGATATCTCGTCTTCATGGATTGGAAGACTTAATATTGTTAAGATATCAATATTACCCAAAGCAATCTATAGATTCAGTGCAATCCCTATCAAAATTCCTGCTGGATTTTTTTTTTTTCCAGAAATGGAAAAGCCAATCCTCAAATTCAGATGGAACTGCAAGGGACCCCAAATTGCTAGAACAATCTTGAAAAAGAAGTATAAAGTCAGAAAGCTCACACTTCCCAATTTCAAAATGTACTATAAAGTTACAGTATAAGGATAGATTGGTACTGGTATAAGGATAGACATATAGACCAATGAAATAGAATTGGGAATCCAGATATCTATGGCCAATTGATTTTTTGACAAAGATACCAAGTTCATAAAAAGGGGAAAGAATAGTCTTTTCAACAAATGGTACTGGGACCATTGTATCTTCATAGGCAAAAGAGTAAAGTTGGATCTCACATCATATACAAATATTAACTCAAAATAAATAAATGGACAAAATCTAAGAACTAACCCATAAAAATCTTAGAAGAAAACACAGGAGTAAAGCTTCAAGATCTTGTATTTGACAACAGATTTTTGGATATAGCATCAAAAAAATGAGCCATAAAAGACAA